AAACAATTTGTATTGTAAGTTCAACTCCAGAATATTCGCTATAGACTGACATTAACAAATGGAATTATTCTAGTTTACCATTTGCAACAATTGGCAGAATTTTCATTTTTCTTTGTATTTCCTCATTAATGAAATTATAATAAATCCCACGAATCATTAATAATTCCAAAATAAGTGCTACAAAAAATGGTGTACCATTTGCAAACGATTTTCTCTAGAATTTCCACTGTAATTCCTCTCTGGCGTCAAATGATTGAAATAAATACTGATTCCTGAAGAGTCATAATATCGAAATAATTTGAATTGTCACAGGGTCGATGAGTAATCCCTCGAAGAGGTGAAAAAGGCGATAAAGGTGTGGCGGGATTAAAGAAGAGGGATGAATGGAACGACAACACCGTTGCGCCGGGCGGTCGGGGCTGGAAAAGTTGGACAGGAGCCACTGCCCGTTGCAACTCTAGTTGTCTACAAAGATGATGCTGGTTACGGTATGAAAGTGTCAGGAGACAATCCCGTCTACGTCCAGTCAGTCAAAGAGGGTAATTTACCACCAGATTTAACAAAAAAAAAAAACCAAATCGTCAATGTACAGTAGTTTTGTCGAGTGCTTCACTGTTATTACCATGAGGATGTGTTAGATATGTGATAGATAGTGATTGTTAACGGAACTTGTAGGTGGTGCTGCTGCTAGGGCTGGTCTCGTTGCCGGTGATAGAATACTCAAGGTGGGTGTCATTACCCCCGTTACATTCCTTATTTATTTATGCAGTCAGTGGTAAAAAGAGTCAATAACTAATAACACAGTTTCGATTCGATTTTATCGGAATATCTTCGAGACTGATGGAGATAGGAAAATTTTTGTGAGGACCTTTTTCGTCACTCTCAGTTAGACCCACAAAAAAGGTTCTAATAAAAATTTTGATATCTCTTGCAATTATCGAGATATTTTCGAAAAATCGAGGGGATCATTTGACTGTTTTGACTCTTTTTTACTTTACCGCTGGTTTTTTGCTTTGATTTTTCTTTTTAATTTTTCCTCGAGTTTTTTTAATGTTGATAATTCGATAGGTGAATGGAGTCAACGTCATGCAGTCAGTGCACACCGACGTCGTTGAGTTGATAAAATGTGAGTATTTGAGTTTATCGTTTAGATTTCTAGGAGTTTTCAAGTGGACGTGAAGTGTTGAATGCTGCTTGTGCATTGTGACGGTAATAAATATTATCAGCTGTGACTACTATGATGTAAACACATGTTTATAGCGGTGACGAGAGCCCGAGGTTATTTCGTTTGTTTTTATGGAGGAAAAATGTGCGGGTTCTTGTGGTATGAGCGATTTTTATTGAAAGATTAGGGATTTCATTGAATAAACTTTTGCCTATAAAATAATTCGTATAGACGTTGATTATTCTGTCGGAAATTTTTCAGTAAAGATTCTTCAAAATGATTTTTTCAGAGTTCCTATATTACTACAATTCTACGAAAAATTCACTAGAAATTTTTGGTTCAATTTCTTCTAGACGTTTCATTAAAAATCGAATATGCGTTGATTTTTTTTAGAAAGATCCATAAATGGATCTTTCTCCTCCACAGGAACCGAGATATTTTCCTCAAATTAAATCAATACGAAAAACGAAAAATTTTTTGTTCTACGCTCCGAAATATTATGGCCCCTGCGGGATTAAACAGACGTGGCAAGACGTTACATCAAAAGACTGGCAATGAGTTCATCTCGCGATCTCACACAGCGACGAAGTGTGGATGCCTCAATACGTCATTCATATTAATATACACCTGGGCTTTCTCGGTGTGAGATTTTTTTTTCCCCATATTTCGAGTTTTCGAGGGAGATTGTTCAGTCGATGACGATCACCCAGAACCTCCACACCGGTAAAGAGTAGATTAAGAACGCAATTGATTAGATAATAAATTTTTATTCGATTCTATAAGTTTGGAGTTGTTTTTTGTGACTAATGGGGATTTCCTCCTTAATTTTTTTGCGCAGCATCGACGCAGGTGGTTTTGACAGTGCAACCAGACCCACTGCTTGCAACACTGGCTAATCATCCAGTGAGATCAACTGGCTTTCACGAGGGACAACAGCGACCGACGAGTCTGACACCCTCTGGATCAATGGTGTCACCATCACAATCAGCTACGTCCCTCCATCGAGCTGCCACTGCTCCAGCCGGTGGTGCCCCTTGCTCCACCCGTATTACTGGACCTCAGCCTGTTGATGTGAGTCTTTACAATATTCATGAAAAGAGACAGAGAAAAATTTCTCGAGGACTTATTTGTCCGATTATGGTATCTTCGTGTTATTTTATTATATTTCTATCAATTTTTCAATCTCAGCATGAGAAAAAGCGACAAATGGATGCACAACGAGTTACTACTTTTCAATTAATGCTGGAGAAGGAGCAGAGTTATGTCGACAAACTTCGATATGACTTGGCAAAGACTGGAACGAGCTCGGGAAATACGTCGAATATTGTTAATCTTCAGTCAGAACTAGCTGGGGCTGAGCGTAGGGTTCGAAAGCTTCAGGAGGAACTCGCAGCAATGACTCCTAGTGATCAGGTGATCTATCCCCTCAATTCGCCGATTATTCTCCAATCCCTGGAGCATTCATCCGGCTTTTAGTTTGTTTTAGATTGGAATATTAATCTTACCCTGTACAGTATTCACGTTCACAGGAAAATTGTCAGCCGCACTTAATTTTGTACAGTTTTAGAATTAAATATCCCTCAATTCCGTTGAGTATCACAGAGAAAACAATTGATTTTCAGGACTATCTCCCACTAATTGGAATTTTTTAATTACAAATGCACGATATGAATAGCAATGAAACAAATTTTTCAAATAGTTTTCTTCAATTATTCACTGTACCTCACTTTTCACCATAGAATCGAGTAATCCTTGAAAATCAATGAATTTTTCTTCTCTGTAAAATATATAAATAGATAAATCCTCATTCATTCCCAAATTAATCGTCTCCCAAAATATTTATCGTTGATTTTGGAATAATTTTTATAATTTTTAATTAGATTTTGTTAATTAGCTTTTTGTTGTCTTACAGCCTTGCCCCCTGGTAACAAATGCTTCGTCTCCCTCTGGGCATTATCCAGGCACCCAAGGTGGTGGTGCAACTGGTCAATCCAGTGATGTACCACCACCACTGCCTTCACGTAAATCCCTTCCTGTGCAGAGTCTTTCCCCACCTCCATTGCCACCACGACCTCCACCCACTCCAAATACACATAATATCATACAATCCGGACAGTTAGAGATGGAGCGACATCTGCTGACTCATTTAACGGCCCCCACCACCAGTCACGGCATCCCTAACTCTGTAAGTAGTGATAAGGAGAACAACCTCGACAGCAAAAAAAAACAAGGGACAACACTATCCTAATTACCTCACACATAAAATTATTTTCATAGGAACATCTCAGCTTCATCTATGGAATTCTATTAAATTTCTTTTAAAACTTAGTTTAAATTATTTTTAATGCAAATTTTGCAAAATAGATTTTTTGTATAATTCTGTCAGAATTTTATCGAAACATTCTATTTGTTTTTTTTTTTCAATTAAGGCCCGTGTGTATTTTTTACAAATAAATAGCTAGAGTTTTTAGAAATTTCATCGAATTTCACAGGAAAAAGCAAGATTTTTCTATGAATTCAGCAGTGAAGAGGTAAAAGGTAATAATTGGGATGTTTATCTCTTTACTACTGGATTATTTTTATGTGTGCTTAGCTGAATTAACTTATGGGGGACGAAAGCATTCCATTCATTCATTTGTATTTTGTGTTCACTCATGTGTACATACCACATTATCCCTTTATTTTTATTGTTAATTATTCTTATTTATCTAAAAATGTAGTAAACTGGTAAAATGAATTTGCGGGTTCATCACTGCTCAAAGAATTACTGAGTTTTCCGAAAAATTGCGTTAAATTCGATAATTCGGATAAGTCCACACTATTTCATGGTTTCCTGAAAATTCAATCATTTTTTTCTCGTATCTCCCCTTCTATTAATTTTTCTGATATAAATGGATATTTACTAAAAACTATAAATTATTTTAACCGAAAATCCCCAGACCAGAAAAACTCAGTAAACCGAGGAAAAAAAATCTTTCCACATGAAATAAATAAATTAAAGAGTGAATGAAATTCACTGTTTACAAATTGCATTGATCAAAGAATAAAAAATTGAATCTCACGAGAAGATATTTAACCTGTCAAAATATTTTTTTTTCTCGTTGTAAAAATGTGGTAAAATTGTTTGTGGAAAAATCCTTTTAAAAAAATGTTAAAACCCCTGGGATTTTTGCCGCAGTTCTCGCAGGACAGCCACTTGAGTTCGCCAACGGGTCTGAGTAAGCACCAGCGTACAAAATCCTCCCCAGAGCAGCTTGGTACGTCGATATCGCCCTCAGAGGCCAGTAAAAGGCTAATAGCCTCAGAATCGATGAGTGATCTATCACCCCACCGTCACACCCGTCACAGTGGAATAGATTTGGACGATCCAGTGCACATAACACCCCCTGGAACTCCACCACCCCCTTACCCCCAGCCAAGTCCAAGTGGAGAGTTGCTATCATCAACTCTGAACGACAGCTTGATGAACGATAGTTTTTCTCCAGCATCACCCCCACGTCAGGGATCAACAGAGACCCCAGGTCTGCCAACAATTCAACAACCCATAATGTCAATGGAGGACGACGACATGAGTGACCAAGAAGTGGGGCAACTGGAGGATCATGGACCCTTCAAATCCCTCTCTCGATTATGGGAGCACCACGCACACCTCTCAGTCTTCATAAACTACGTACTCTCCAACAGCGATCCATCGGGCCTCCTCTTCTACCTCGTAACAGATCTCTACAAGGAGGGAAATGCCAAAGAGATGAAGAAATGGGCCTACGAGATCCACTCGAGTTTTCTAGTTCCAGGTGCTCCACTCCGTCTCAACAATGTCGATGAAAATATAGCGCGTGAAATTGACGATGTCCTCTTGAAGGAATCCGACAAGGAGGAGATACTTCGAAAGATATTCTGGAAAGCAAGGGCCAAGGCCAAGGAGGAGCTTAACGAGCAGTTGGCAGATTTTCAGCAGAAGAGAACAGCTGGATTGGGAATGCTATTTGGCCCCAGTGATACGCAGCTCGATGAGAGTGAGTCTGATAAATCCAAAGAGGCGAAGATCATTGAGACTTATCTATTACCCAAGATGGAGGGATATCTTGAGGATATTGAGAAGGATCAAGGGGATCTACGTCAATTTACCACTGCAGCTGGACTGGCAACGATATTGACGAAGATATTTCAAGTTAGATCTGTGTCACTTGATCGTGTACCAACCTTTGTGGCTAAGGACAAGTCCATTATCAAGGCGAGAATACTTACTGGCAAGAATAGAAAGATGACTGTAAGGGGTCATCATTTTGCTGCACATCAGTATTTCACTGTTACGTATTGCAATCATTGTCAGACCATTATTGGGGGAATCGGACCGCAGGGATATCAGTGCAGTGATTGTTCATTGAGTGTTCATCGACCTTGTGTTAGGGTTGTTCAGGAGGACTGCCCTGGGCCACATATTAGGAAGGAGAAGGCCAATGATGCACTTAGTAAACTCATGGAGAGGATATACAGGCCTGAAAGGAAACCACCGTCATCTCATCATTATCATCAAAATCAACTGCATCTGGGTGAGTTCATTTATCCTTTTTTACATTTTTTCAATTCATTTATTTCTGTTTTTTTTTCTCGTTTAATTTTTATTTGTAGGGATTCATTCTTATTTATGTAGGACTTTGAAATTTAAATTTAATTAAGGGTTCCCCCGCTTTCTTTTTCTTTTATACAAATTCCACATCATCATTTATGGGATTTCGTCTTTCAGTCGAACGCACTAAGAGAGCAGAAGAGGAGGGCGCGTTGATAGATGGCGAGAACGGTGAGCTTTATCTCCTTGTAATCATAATTTAATGAATGTCATTCTCGAAATAAAGAGGGCATTATTCTCATTTTATCTCAGTAAATTAACTCATTAGTGCAGTTTTACAAAAAAATTATTCATTTATCTAAACCGCTATTTAGTTAAAATGAAAACAATAAGGAACACGTTTATAGCTAATTAAATTCTCCATAAAAAAAGTATCTTGACGTTTCCTCCGAGAATCAATAGATTTTTCAGTCGATTGATGAGAGAGTAAATTCAGCATATCAAGTGATTTTCTGCAACTATCACCTAAAAGGCAAAAAAAAGAACGAATTCGTAGGAACTTCAAAGAAAATGTCATTCTCTCTCATTAAGCCTCCTAAATTCAATTACGCGTCGGCGATGAGTGAGAAAAAGTAGGGGCGCGTGTCGCAGACATGCATTATCCTCGAAAAAGTGTTTCCGAACCCAGACAACGGGGCCAATGTGAATGGCGTCTCTGGAGCGACATCGGAAATACATTTTCGAGTGTATTTTGGTTTCCTACCGTAATGGGGACTGCCGGGAATTGGAGATATTTTTTTAGTCCCCCTCCCCCTCCCATTCCCCAGATGTAAAACGATGCACGTCGAGAAAATTTTCCTGGGGGAAGGGGCAACTGGTGGATCTATACTTGGAGCAGTGCTCTGTGAGATGCCCTGGCTTTCACAGATCACCGCACCTCAACATCAATGATAGAAGTATGGAATATTTGGATACCAGCCAATACGTCAATTTACATATCGTCTTGCTTTCTGTTTGTCAATCTTTTTACAAATGTTTGGTAATTGTTTGTCATTTGTCAATTGTTTAAAGGGGAGCACCGAGGTCTAGCCAGTGGTAACGCAAGAACTAGTGCCGAGAGAGGACGTCTCTTCGGATTTAACGATCATCCTGATAGCATGGATGATCCTTCATCCAGGGAAGACATCTCCGAAATGTAAGATCGCCTTGTCACTTACAGAAATTCGTTATTATAACTAAATCTCCAATGAAATTATCGAAACAATTTTTTTTCGGTACATTTTCGCCGAAACTATGAGCGATAATTCAATTTTTGGGAGAACTTTTTTTTGAGGACTGATTTAAACTGCAATAAAGGTCATCATAAACATTTCAATATTTCTCTTGGTTCTGGAGATATTTACGAAAGACTGGACGGACAAGAGTCTTCTCCTTTCGTCATTTCGATATTGAAATTTACTGTCACACAAATTTGTTTGGGAAAGAATTTAAATGGGGCTTTTATGTTGAGACGTCTAAACATTTTGTTGTATCAAGTTTATTTACGCGACAGGAATAACTTTTTTTCTTCTTAAAGCAGAGGTCAAAGTCTTCTTTTGAAATTAATGGGGGAATTTTGTTTCAGGGTGCAGCAAAATATTTCCAGCAAGCCAAAGACATCGAACATAAACAGATCTGAGAGTTATAAAGAACGTATCCACAACAAGGTAAATTGAAAAATGAAATTCTGTAATTATAATGAGTCCCAGAAGGAATTGATTTCCAATATGGTCTCGAATTTCACTCATTTCCCCTGATTTTATGCTTTTATGAATCGCAAATCAATGATTTCCACCATTTTGTCCGATAAAAAAGCTCACGCACATTTTTCTCGTGTAAAAAATGTTTTATTTCATTCTCACGACCAATATTGATTCGTAGGAAGTCATTGAAGTCATTGGTTTCTTGAATTCAGCACGAATTGATTTTTTATGAACGTTCAATTGACCGGTATTTTCGCTTTCTTTTTAATTATTCATTTCGAGACAATTTAACAATTAGAAATTGCAGGATTCCCATGAATCCCTGTGATTTCCAAAGTCACTAACCCTTTAGTGCACATTATTTAGTGACCGCAAGGCCGATTAACATCGGCTAAATTATACCGAGACGGTTCACCACAACTATTTAGAAGTGAACATGACGTTTATGAGGGGAGAATGATGGTAATTTTTTTTTTCAGCGGCAGTTGCGAGAGAAGCGGAAGACGAGTGATCCAAATCTTTCCAAAACAAAGTAAGTGTTTAAATTGTATTTCAATTCAATTAATCTATTCATTAGTTCCACCATTTTATTCGCTCCCTCAAAAAAACAACAATAAGGGCTTAAAAAATATTCGAAATACCCAAAACGCGAGGCGAATTCCAAAATAAACTGCAAATTTTCGTATCAAAATCGCAATATTTCCTTGTACCACTTGACAAGTGATTTAATTTTAGTAAATAATTCTTGCAGAAGCCAAATGTCTTTCACTTCATGAACTGCTCGATTTTTTATACTTTGATTATTGGAATTGAATTTTAAATATTGAACCGAAGAATTAAATTCGTAATAAATTGTTATAAAGAAGGGAATAAAAAATCGATGAGTAATTTTGAATAAAATAGTAGTCGCCTCAACCGAAAAATCATTCTAGTAAATAAATATTCTTCTGCCAAATGCCATGAGCTCATGTACGCACGTGCGCACACAAGTTTTTCTCGCTGTATTCCTGGATTCTGTCTCTACGAGTGATTTTCGTCGGTTAAAACTCAGTGTGACGTTGAGCGCTCGGTTTCGCGGACGCAGGCGATTTTTATCGTTGAAAATTAAAAAAAAAGTCATGAAAATGGATGAAGAATCCAAAGCGATTTCGATCTGAGAGAGATAAACTAGAGTTGTGGAGTGGAATTTGTCATCGTTCCCCGGTTTTTATCCCCAGAATTTCTAATAATATTGTTTTCTTCTATAATTCTCACGTCATCATCTGTGTGACCTCGTAAGACCAAAATAAATACTATTCGTTGCTAAAACTCATTATACGTTGTATGGGGGGGCGGCATTTCGAGGCTTTTTAATTATTCATTGGTTGTTATGCAACGGGTATTTTTTTTTTGCTTGGAGAGTAATTTGAAACTGCAATTTTCACGAATATATCTTATCGTACCAGCGTCACTTTCATTGACCGGCTATAAATTCTATCTTTGACATGCCACTCCTCGTAGCGGAGTTCCTGTATAATGGCCATGAGACAACATACTTTTATGAGGGGGATGGTGTATTAAATTCTAATTAAATACACGGGGGAGAACCTGTGGAATTTTTTCCGGTCGTTATTCGGAATTGAGGAGAATTGTTTTTATTCGATTGAATCACTCGGACTTTTTATTTCATCGAATTCGGATATTCCACTTGATTATAATTTAATCAAATTATTATTATCAAATTGTATTATCATCGCATTCAAATTCAATTATAATTACGTTATAATTGAATTATCATTAAGTTATAGTTAGATTGTAATTAAATGTATGGGTGAGGGCTAATTGATTTTTTTCCATTGTCATTGGGAATTGAAAAAAAATCGATTTAAATTGATTAGCTTAGGAAGTTGCAAATTATAATAACTAAATATTTGAATCTTTTTGAAAAATTTGGCCTCTAGATTATTATCCATTCATTTCAAATTCATCAGAATATTTTGAATTCAATTGAATTTTTGAAGAATTCAATTCTTCGATTTTGCAAAGAAATTAAATTGTTTAAATTAAATATAATGAATTCCGTCCAAAGGAATTTATCGTCCCTATTCGATCATTCATCGAACTATGAATTCTATCATCAATAATTCCGATAAAAAATCTGGTTTCTCCGAGGAGCGCGAACCCCTAAAAACTGAATTGACCCAAATAACGAGAGGTTTCTCTCCCTTCTCTCATTTCCCGAAAGACATTATAATTCCCCTTAAGTTTGTCTCCCCGATGTTTTATTTCCAAAGCGATCGATACTCTTCAAATCAATACTTTTATAGTTTCAACCTGGTGACTCCACCAGCGCCTCAATTCCATATCTGTACGTAGTGCGACACATGCATCACCACCAAGTGCTCGTCCTCGGGTACCGAAAAGAAAAAAAGAAACACGTGTAATAACTTGAGATATGTAATACTCCGGGACATATGGCCACCCACGTGCGAGTACCAGTGATTCTGAGGGGTTGTAGCTTTTTCGATTAGAGTGAATCTGGACGAGTGCCGGAAGCTCATATCAATGCTGAAAAAAAAAATCCAAAACACGTCTAATTTGATTAAAAATTTTTATTTCTGCTGAAAAACTAAATAAACAGAACGAACGGAATTATTAATAAAATTCTTCAGGAACTCCTAAAAAACTAAATAAAAAAAAACTAAATAAACAGAACGAACGGAATTATTAATAAAATTCTTCAGGAACTCCCGTCAAATTTACTAGAAGAACTCAATTTACTCAATAATTAATTATATAATCTCATCATTTATTTCGCGCGGAAAAGACAACAATAGAATACAACAACAATTTTTTCAATATGACATTATTCTTTAAAGAGGTCAGTGTCTAAATCATCCAAAGGGTGGGATAATTGATGAAAGCCTGGAAATGCCAATGCAACCTTAACGTGAATGTCAGTGATAACCGTCAGGTTACGGTTACGATTTCTCCCCGGAGAATTCTCCCTTCGTCTGAAATAAATAAGTGTTGATTTATTTGAAAATAAAATAGTAGAAAATGCGACAACGGGCGTCTCGACGGTCTAGGACGAAACCCAATGCCGGAAAAATGGGAAAAATTCCGGATATCATGGGGTATAAAACGGTTTCCGTGCCTTTGGAACGTACGCGCAGTGATATTACTGATAAATCGTTGAGCAATGATGA